CATTTGTTGCATGTACTTATATGATTATTCATAATTAGATCTTTTTAAAATAATGATTTTTGAAAATTTTGCACCAATTTATTTTTCAATATAGTTAGAAATTGAAAATATATTTTTTGTATCCCATGTCATTGTAAATAAATTCCAAACAAAATGAGAAAAAAGAATTTCAATTATTTATTATAATGTATATGCATGATTTTTTAATTAAAAATTCAAACATTAATTTGGCATTTGATTTTAAAATTTAAGTTTTATTATTATTGGTGTTTTTAGGCTTCTTTTTAAGCATTTTTAGAGTTTTCATAGGCAAAATAAAGTGTTAATATTGAATTTAAAGTATAATCAAGCATATTGTCTAATATAAATTTTATAATAAATCATAATCAAGACTTAAGAAATGGGAATCAATGGAAAAATTCTTATAAGGTGTCTTGGTAAAGATTGCCTAGCAAAACATTAATGAAAAGCAAGGAATTTGGTTAAAATTCAAGGTCTAGAATTTAGATGTTTATCTCATCCATCCTTTAAAAATTATCTCTACCAGGGATTGTTTTCTCCATATCGAATTGATAAGAGTTTTGTTCTTTTTTTTTCTCCTTTTTTTTTTAACATCTTTTATGAGGTAGTTTTTATGTTAACTAATATGAAAATCCTTTTTGAATGATTTTGAAGGTTCACTTATGTATTGTTTTGGCATATTTACTTGAATTAATGTGATAATTTTTTTTTATAGTAATCTTGTCTATTGATTTTCATATTTTTAATACTTAAAAAAATTTAAAATTTATCGTGGTTAATTAAATTCCACTCGAAGGATTTGTATATGTATAACTATCTAGAATCGTCTTGGAAGTACAAAGCAAAATATAGCGATTGAACTATTCCTCACGAGATTGTAAAGTTTATTAACTTTAGTGGGCTAAAGAAATAGTTCAGAATACAAGAGAAAATAGACAATCTAAGTGACATTCTCCTAAAAATAAAGCTAAACAAAACTAAAACATCATTGAAAGATGAGTTCTATATCCTAAAGGCCAATTGACAAGTTCTTGAAAAATTTACCCACCTTTCAATTTCATTTGAGCTACACCACAAATCATTTCAAGAATACATAAAATGATTATCAATATATTTAATCCAATACGCTACCTTATAAAAAAATTAATAAAAGAACAATATTTCAATCAAGAGTGGTGCCGTTAAAGATAAAATCATTCCGCACTAGCCGGATCGACTATAAACTTGAATAGAGAATAAAAAACCACATTTTCTTCCGCATATGCCTATAATTATAAAAATTTCACTACCGAAAAGGATCATCCACGGATGTAGGAATAATCCGTGAATAACTCCATCAGCAAAAGATTTTAGACCACAACCGCTAAAGGATCCGTGCTTTGATTCTACGAGCATTACATAGAATCTGAAACAACAAAGAAAAAAGAAAGGGGAAACAAAACACTAAATTAGCACTTTCATCCACTCAGGCATATACATTTAGTTGTTAAGTTAATTAATGTAATGCTTGCTCTATGTCTAATTTTAGGTAATTAAAGGAGTTACCATTGTGCAAGGGGACTTCTTCTCCACATGGGAGTGTCCTTCGTGTAGGGATTAAAATTTCTACATCTCTTGGTACATCTTCAACATGATGAATAAAATTTGACTTGAGCTTTTTCATATCACCATCTCCTTCTCCTTCGTTAGCCTTATCTTCTAGTAAGGCAACAGTTTTTATTTCATCCATTTTGATGATAATTAGAGTTTGATGAATATGATGTTTATATATAGGCTCAGATTCATTCTTTTCTAGGGTTTTCTAACCCCTCGTCTTCTTTCTTTTTAAGATTTGGTATCTAGATACCACTTGCCTCTTGGGTTTTTTTTTTTTTTTTTTTTTTTTTTTTTTTTTTTGTCCTTATTGGGGTTTCATTATCTTTATTTCTGATTAGCACAAAAATAACAATACCAATCCAAATATTTGTTGTCAATGCAAAAGAAGATGATGCCAATTGAAAACAGAGGGATTTAATTCAAATCGTGTAAGATCTTATCCAACATTTTGGTTTGTTGACATATCAGCATTTAGATTTCTTGCTCATTTCAGCATTAGCACATAAGGAAAAAACTATTAGATATATTTGGAAGTTATATTCATTCCTTTCATATGAAAACTGCCTGCTACATTTAAGTGACGAATAGCTATATAGGTAAAGACAAGGATGGAAGAAAATTTGAGTGGTAAAATTAGCAAAAAAATAAATAATTCTTCATACATAGGGTAGGATGCTAATTGAAAATTGTGTTGTCATTGGAAACGAGAGAATGACAGCCAAGAGGAAAGGAATTGTGTTGTCATTAGGAATAGCTATATAGATAAATACAAAGATTGTTTTTTTTTTTTTCCATCATAATAAAGAGTGAATTATGTAATATAATTTTTCATTGAATTCCATATTAATGAGGATGACGGTTAGTACTTTGGAAATAAATTCATGAAACCAACCAAAATCAAGGTTTTCTATTTGCTCATAGTTAAATATATGTCCCTATAAATACCTATTTTAGGAACTTAGGCCATTGCACAACAAACTACGTACTTACTCTAAAATATCTTGCCAAAATTTAAATTAAAGATAAAGATATGAAGGTTTTTTTCTCAATGACAATTTTGGTTGCTTTGTTTGTCATCGCAACTTGTTAGTCATTTTTCTTTCCCTTACTCCATGTATTTCCTTGTTTGTATTTTTGATATGATCACAAGTATCTATTCATACAGGGATGTATATCGTGTTATTTCTTACGTGCCAAGAACTAATGAAATATTTCTGACAGGTTTTTTGATGTCGAATATGCCAATCGTCGAAGGAGGAGAAATTCAGCTATTCGTACCATGCAAAACAACTGCAACTTGCCACCAAAACACTTCTTGTCCAGAAGACAGAATGGTTCTACGTTGTGTTAATAATCTTTGCCAGTGTAATTGGTGATCAATTCATGTATATTTGTCATGCTATATACCTCTAACAACAATAAATGAAGTGATTTATGGTTGTTTTAGCATTTTTATCATAAGAAAATTGCCTCTCTCTTTTTTTTTTTTCCCAAGGATGAGCATTTATCATAGAATTTCCATAAAAAAATACATAATATTAAAAGTACATTACAATGGAAGTTATTACTTCAATCTTACAAAGAAAAAGAGAAATACCTAGGAATGGCAATCCGACCCACTCCAACGAAGTCCCTCCCCTTCTTGCGCCCCGTTTAGGGTGGAGATGGTACCTAAAATACATCCTGAATGGGGCACCATCCCCACCCTACCTTGTCTTTTTGTCTTTAAAAAAGACAATTTGACGGAGCTCCGTTCGCTTCTGCCTCGTATGAGACGAAGATGGTAAAGAAATTATGTCTCAAACCGGCACAAGGCGGGGATGAGGATGGCCATTTCTGCCCCGCCTCGCCCTGTTGCCATCCTTAGAAATACCAACTATTGAGATCCGCTACAACCTAGCGGTGACGATAGTGGTGAAAATATTCATTAGCATATTTGATCTAAGTTCTCTTCTTCTTTCACACACTTCTCATACTAAAACTATAGTGATTGGATATAAGAAACGGTATAATGAAAATAAAACAATAATTACTCTCTGTAAACAAATCTACAACAGCAAAAAGGAATAAGAACATCATCAATTCTTGAAGCACTCGGTTTCCTTATTGACGAGCCATCTACATTCTATTTCAAAAATCCAACACCTGACTTAATCTAATATATAGCTACCTGATTTTGAATTTGGTTAGACCAATTATGTTAGTGCTGTAATTAACTCAACATTAATGATCCCAATTCAAAACTTTGTTGTCACAGCAAAAGAATGGAAAGCAAGCGATTTGGTTTAAAATCCAAGGTCTAGAATGTGGATGTCTATCTTATCCAACCTTCAAGATTTATCACTAAGGATTGTTTTGCCTTAGCAATGCGTTGATGGATATTGCTAGTGTTGTAATTACTTGGAAAAAAAAATTGAAAACTTTCTTGTCATTTCCAAACAAAGGATGCCAGATAAAAGGAAAGGGATTTGTTCAAATCCAAGGTGTAGAAGACCTATCAGACAATAGAAATCCAAGGTGTAGAAGACCTATCAGACTATAGGAAATTGGTTGATGTTTCTCTTCTAGGTTCACACAGAATACTAACAAGGGTACATCTGTGTCTAAGAGGAAATTAAAAAAGTTATGAATTAACCTGTTTTATATATTAAGACAGAAATATGGAATTACGAGTATGTTGCACTACAAAACACATAAATAATTACCAAACCATCACGTAGTTTCAAATTATGCATCCATGGTGCTTTTGAGATTGTTCATTGTTTTATTGAATCAATTTCGTGACAGAAAATGACAGCAGACTGCATAAAATATGCAAGTCCAAAAAGGGCAATCACTAGCCTTTCAGAATCACCAAGCTACAGCCACATGTTAAACCGTGGAATGAATTACTTGAAAAGAAGCATAAATCTAATTCCTTATCGGCTGCATAAATAGTTTGAATGAGCAGTACACAATTAGTGCAACTTCATATCATACATTCGGTTTCCTCAACAATATAATGATTACACAGTCTTTTACAAGAATAAGAGGATATAATTTTTAAATAAATCAATCTATAATCAACGTAGTATTGTTTCAATGATGTCTTACAAACCAGGATAACCAAGAAATGTTTTGTCTATTCTAAAGGTTCTATAAATCTCTGATCAGTTCTCTACTATCCTTTTTTCACAATCTTTTCTATACAATTGTCAATTAGCTATCATCCTCATTTCTACCGTAATGATTAGAAGGTTATGCAAATCTTTATAGTTTTTGGCTTTTATTTATGCTTCATAAGACCTTTTCTTGTCGTTGAATTCTGCTAGTTGCAGACTACAATGAACGAACATAAGATCACGGAAGTGGTCTTGTTCAAGTTGATTCTATCCTTTGTTTACCAACTTCTCTGCCAAGTTCCTGTTTATCCTGTACCTGACAGCACCATCACAGGTCTGACTTAGGATAGGAATCGCCAATCCCCGTATCTCCGAGCAGTGATTTCCGAATGCTGACCAAAACTGGGCTGGAATTAATATCACGGAGGATACAAGTTAAATAAGATGATAAACCAAACAATGAATGCTAAAAATAATTTTTTTTTTAAATCTTGCAGAAAGTTTCTGTACCTGGATCAACAGTCTTTATTGTCTTTACAACATACTCCTGGAAATAATCATCAGCATGGCAGAACTTGTTTACCTGATCATTAATCAGGGATTGAACTTGCTGATCATTTTCCATACGAATAATGGAGTATTGAAGTCCGTCCAAGACTTCATTGTCTGAAAGGAGAGTTGCAGTTGCCCACAAGTAATAATGTGAAAAAGATATCCTGAGGAAGATAAATCATCACAATATTAATTCATCTTCAACCATAGCTGAAAACTCAATGAAAAGATAGAACGAAACCATCACCTGGAATTTTCCTCTAAACTTGACTTCAGCATCCACATGTGGCCATTTTCATCTTCTTCATCGCCTTTCTCTTCTTCGAGCAAGGCAACACTACGAAAGACGGCAGTTGCCATTTCATCCATTTCGGTGATTGTGAGGGTTTGGTGAATACGATGTTTATATAGAAAGATACATCTCCTCTTTTCCTCTAGGGTTTTTAAAACCACTTGTTGTTTCTCTCTATGTTTTTTTTTTTTTTTTGCTGGATTTTCTTGCTATGTTTGGCATTAACACATAAGGCATGTTGATGAATACTAGTGCTGTAATTAGTAGTAAACTAAAGACGCTAATTGAAAACTGATTTGTCATTTCAAAAGACAGAGTACCCATTAAAAGGATAGGATTTGGTTCAAATCCAGGATCTAGAGACCGATGTGCATGATGTTTCTATCTAGCTATCACACCTTATAGATGATCTTCCCTTTCAAATTTTCGATACATATTAGCACAGTGAATTTCAAAACTCTGTAGCCTCTTTTTGATATATGGAAACTCGATCTTCAGGTTCCTTCTCTTTTTGATACATAAAGATTGAGAGAAAGAACTTTGTGGGGTCTATGAATCCAACATTAGATACTAATCCCTTCAAAATTAATTTTATTTCAAATCTCCATCTTTTTTTTTTTTTTTTTTTTTATGAGGTTATGATCTAATTTTACATTTTTTTATTCTTTGTCATGAAAGAATTAAAAGGATATGTTAATTAAGAGTTAAACAATTTATTCCTTAATTAATCAAGAATTATTTATAATATGTTAGTAAATTAATAAGAGTTATGGCATATTCGTATCAAATAAAAGAAGTAATGCCAGGCATATTCGTCTTCTTTTTTTATTCGAGATCTTTTTTGAAGTAGTTTGCATGTTAATTGAGATTAAAATTCAATTCCATATTGGTTTGGTATATTTACATGAACTAATGCGATAACTTTTATTTTTCATGGTAATCTTGTCTATTAATTTCTATATTTTCAATATTTCATAAAATTTATCTTGGTTAATTAAGAACAAATTTATTGGATTTGTATAAGAATAACTCTCTCGAATTGCCTTGGAAGTACAATGCAAGGATAGCGATTCGATTGGTTAATTTTTATTTTATTGTTATTTACTTCTTCATTTTTAAGTAAATAGAAATAAAAATTAAATCATAAAATTCAAGCGTGGTCTACGAAACATGAATTTTATAGAAATTAGAATTGTTGCAAAATAAATCAATAAGAGTAGTTAATTACAAAATAACAAATGTCGTCACACAAATTGAGTGTTTTTCACCAATTTATTGCAGTACTTTACCACAGAGATTTTCTTGCATCCTTGCTCTTACGTACAATAAGCATTTATGAAGAATCTTGGTTCTATTTCTACAAGTCAATAGCAGCTTTTTTATCCCTCGATCTCCTTCTTTTCATCTTGTTCCATTCAATACAGAATCTGAAACAACAAAGAAGGAAAAAAGAACACTAAATTAGCACTTTCATCCACTCATGCACATACATATGGCTAGTTTTGAAGCTATTGAATGTAATGCTTTCCATGTATCTGATGCTAGGTACGTACGTAGTTAAAGGAGTTATTACCATGGTGCAAGGAGACTTCTTCTCCACATCGGAGTGTCCTATGTGGAGGGATTCAAATTTATGCATCTTTTGGTATATCTTCAACCTGATGAATAAAATTTGACTTGAGCTCTTTCATATCACCATCTCCATCATCTTCATTAGCTTCATCTTCTGTGTGTAAGGCAATACTGTGCAAGACAATAGTTCTTATTTCACCCATTGTGATGATAATGAGGATTTGATGAATAAGATGCTTATATATAAACTTAGATTTCTTCTCTACAATGGTTTTCTAACCTCTCATGATATTTTTTTTTCTAGGGTTTGGTATCCTGATACCACTTGCCCATTAAGGTTTTTTTTTCCTTATTGTTTTTTTTTTCCTTATTTTGCTTTTAATTCAAATCCTGCAAGGTCTTGAATGTGGATGTTTATCTTGTCTTGGGTTTTGGTTTCTTGACACATCATCATTTAGATTTCTTTCTCTTGTTGGCATTAGCAAATGAGAAAGACACTATTAGATATATGAGAAATTTTATAATACACAAGAAGTAATTAAGTAGCATATACAGTAGTTACTTTTTGAACTCACTTTAAAGAGAGAGATAGACACATAAAAGGAGAAAAAAATAAAAAAATTTGAACGGACGTGAAAATCTTCTTATCACTTTTGGTGGGTATGGATGTAATTTCTTTCTTTTTTATGTGTCTATTTCTCTCTTCAAAGTGGACTCAAGGAGTAACTATCGTATATGTCACTAGTTACTCCTCGTGTATTATAAAATTTTCTATAGATATATTGGAAGTTATATTCATTTCTTTTGTAAAAGCATATTTTATGTAAGGAATGGCTATGCAGGCAAAGACAGGGATGGAAGAAAATTAGAGTGGAAAATTAGCAAAAAATAAATAATTTCTTCTACATACGGTATGATGCTAATTGAAAATTGTGTTGTCATTGGAAACGAGAGAATGACAACACAGAGGAAGGGATTTTTTTAAAAATCAAAGTGTATATCTACAAGACAATTTTTATTTTATTTTTTTGTGTATTCATCATTATAGTTTTTATATCTGATTATATATATCTATGCTTTGATCAGTTTTATTTGTCATAAAAGAATAAATCCCAAAGTTAGTAAACAAAAATAGAAGTAACCTAATTTTGCTTTAGGCTCATCGTTTAATACACCAACTTTCTTTTGTAACCAACAGGCATATTCTATTGTATGCACAACTTTGATTAAAATAAGCTTTATCGGCCTATCTCCAAAAGCATGTTCAAGTACGACACTAACTTCCTGTCGTATCACCATGCCAAGGACAGCTCGCGGTGTAATGCCGGACGCGCAACCAAGATGATAAAGATGCCTTTCACCTATTTACTAGACAAAAAGTACATTCATTTAATCTTGCCGAAAGACTCGATTTTCAATTGCAAAAGCAGGCTTGTTCGGTAATGAGATATCATTGAGATTTGGATAACGTTCGATAAACAGAATTCAGTAAATGAAGTTTGTTTTTCATTTCCAAGATCTGGTGCTACACCTTCGGGAGCTAGTTTTTGAGCAAGGTTCTGTGTTTCTTCATGATCATTCGTGAAAAAGAAATACAGTTCAGTCAAAAATAAAAAGAAAGACAATATAATAACAAGTATTCATGAACTTAATTATCTGATTACATTTAAACATTTACGAACATCCTGTACAGAAATCTTTTTTTTGCCCGATAAGTCATTTTTTTGCCTGATTGCTCTAAGTTGGAAATACCACCCATCACCATCTTCTTCACCCTCATTTTTCCACCGGACTTTACATTAGCCAAATGACCCACTTAAAGCACCTGGTCAATAGAGTTAGCCATTTTGCTTTTGTAGAATATTCCAATGGCGAGGATGCTCTCACCTTATCAAGAGAGTCATTACACCACCATTATCTGTAATCACTCTGTTTTACAACTCATCTACGTGAAGACAACTGGCTCCAAGACCATTTTTTGTGTTCCATATCCATTCGGAAATGAAGGTGTGTTTCTTCCCATCATTTCTTGGATAACCAGAACCTGAAGATACAAAACATAAAAGATTCAGACACTAATGAAACTTACAAACAAATACCGAAACAAACATAGAGATCATAAAAGTTTAACATTGAGAAATTAGAGTTAAAACCCTAACCCAGAGAACACAAGTTAAATTAGCCTTCCTCAATAACGTGATCTTGGAAGAAGTTTCTTTACCTGGATAGCGTGGTAGGACTTGTCTACCTGATCATTAAGAGGGCATAGAATTTGCCGATCATTTTCCGTACAAATAAAGGAGCATGGAAGCTTCAGTGTCCAAAAGAAAATTTCTAGTATAAAAAAAGGCTGGGATTTAGGTGATATGTTGCAGCATGGAGGGGGCTATGAAAAAAATCATCCCAAATTTCATCAATCAAATTCCACAGTGGCATGCATCTGGACTTATTTCTTTCCAAACTCATCCTGTATTGTCTCCTTTATCTGATCCATAGTATCATATACGATGCCAGTGGAATGCTCATCCTCAATGATGAACTTGTCGGCAACACGGATGAGTGCAGTTGTTGTCTTTCATGCTAGTTCTGCTCGCTTCCAAAAAGAAGACTTATTGACCAAACCAGCTAATAATGTGGAAAAGATATCCTGCAAGATCAGAGGAAGATAAATCAGCACAGTATTAATTTATCTTTAACCATAGCTGACAATTCAATAAGAACATAGAACAAAACCCTAACCTGGACTTTTTCTCTTGTTACATCTCCAATCTGATTACAAAAACTTGACTTTAGCTTCTCCATGTGGCCATCTTCATCTTCTTCATCGCTTTTCTCTTCTTTGATTAGGGCGATACTGTGAAAGACGGCAGTTGCCATTTCATCCATTTCGGTGATTGTGAGGGTTTGGAGAATAAGATGTTTATATAGGAAGATACATCTCCTCTTTTCTTCTAGGGTTTTTAAAACCACGTGTTGTTTCTCTCTCTGGTTTTTTTCCCTGGATTTTCTTGCCATGTTTGGCATTAACACATAAGGTATGTTGATGAATACTAGTGCTGTAATTAGTAGTAAACTAATGACGCTAATTGAAAACTGATTTGTCATTTTGCAAAAGACAGAATGCCAATTAAAAGGATAGGATTTGGTTCAAATCCAGGATCTAGAGACCTATGTGCATGTCTATCTAGTTATCACACCGTATAGATGATTTTCCCTTTCAAACTTTTGTTCTTATCTAATCTCACTTCTAACTAATTTTTATCGTGTTAATTAAGTTCATTCTTTTTTTTTTTCAGTGCAAATTATGAGGTAACATCTAATATTTTCATGAAAGAAAAAAATGAAGTTATCTTTTAAAAAATCTAATAACATAGATAAACATCTAATATTTTGTTACTATATTAACATCTGTTATAAGAGAAAAAAAAAATCTTTTAAAAAGTTGAATCATCTTCTTCCAAGCAACATCTAATATTTTCATGGACCAAAAATGAAGTTATCTAAACTTTTCTAAGCTACCATAGATAAACAGATGAACTGATAACCCTAGTAGACTCCATTCATGAAAGATTTTTTCCTTTCAAATAATAACATATTATCAATCTTTTTCAAATAGCAAGATAGAAATCTTATAGAACCATCGATAATGGATGTCAATCCCTTTCAAATCATAAGATAAAAACTTCCATTTAGAAAGAGCACCATACATAAAAATAAGATCCCAACAAATCAGGTCCTGGTGGTATGAAATAAACAAAAGAGTGGAAAATTCACATCAATATAAATAAAAATAAGAAAAAAAATCAATAAAAAGAGGGTTGCTGCTGGGTAAAAGTAGCCACCAGCAACTCAAACTAGGCAGGGATGAACCACTGGAATTCTGGAATTTGTTTTGCTTGGTTATAAATCAAACTCTTGAATAAATTGGTTTAAATTCTGATCAAACAAGTGGATCAATGTACTCATTTTCCTTATAAATCATTACATATTTACCACTTGTGTGATTTAAACTCAATGAAAATGAAATCATCGTTATATAATCATTCCATTGTTATTGAAAGTCGATCAAAACATTTTGAGCTGGCTTCCTTGCGAAACCAAATAAGGATGTCTTGTACAAATGCCATGCTTTAATTTTATTTAATATACTAATCAAGAATTAAGATGGAACAAATGAAAAAATTTACATAAAAATGATAATCAAGGCTGCAAGTGGATACAAAATTTCATAATTTATATTGAATATATAAATATCCATCAATTTTTACATCATTGGAAATTCAGTTCAAATGTGAATTTTGTTTAGTACATCACTGATCTGAAGATCTTACCATGGCTACAAACTGATACTTCGTTTATGGCTTTCATCACGTTAATACCTTACAAGGATTCTGTTTCGGTTTATGTTTGACCCAGTTTTCTTCTTCTAGGGAAAATGTCTGCATACACTAAAAAGACTAGTAAATGTCAAGTGACCACCTAAAGTAAATTTCCATATATATTCTGACATGTCTAGGAGCATATGGATGATAAACATATATATAACAAGAAAGCCAAACAAAAAATTGCAACCACACTATATAAGTTTTGAGAATTATAGAATCTGAAGTTCCTTTCAACACTAACAATTAATAATACCTTTTAATCATGAAGTCAAACAAACTGAACATCACCAAATGAAAGCTGAGTCCTTATCTTACCTTGTAAATTTGTAGAAATCCAACGATTTTGTCGTTGTGGAAATCCTCAGTCCATTTGAGAATTTTCTTTGTTTATGACTCCAACGTCAAACTTTCCTAAAGTGCAACAAATCGTTTGATTACTTAAGGGAAGCAATGTAAGGATAAGACACTATCCTTTATAAGAATAAGGGAATATTTTCAAAATAAACAAATAAATAATCACCATCGCACTTTCACAGTAATGTCTTGCAAACCAGTAAAACCAAGAAAATTTTAGTCTATGCTAAGAGTTCCATTAACCTCCAATCTGTTTTGCTTTCTCTATCTTGGATAAATTAATCTCTCAAATTGAAAAAAAGAAAAATTCTAAGAGCTTTGGTTTTGTTGAAGAACAAGAGAAAAGTAACATAAATAAGTATATCTAAACACACACGACCTCACAAATAAATATATCTACAATCTAAAAACATCCTTCCGAAAAAACGTCTATTTGAAAAAGCTATCTAAAGAAACAAGAGAATAAAATATCTATAGGCAACTAAACATAACAATAATCAATAGATGGGAATTCCCTCCTTACATTTTGATCATAAATTAGCAGATAAGTTAGATTTCTCTAGGGAAATTTATCCAAATTTCTCTTTCTTTTTATTTTGGGTTTCCTTCTTTTGGCCTAGAACGCTAAAAGGTGGTTGGAGAAAGAAACCCAAAAAGGGAACTTTAGAGTTCTTAATAACCAAAAAATGACAAAATGAATATTAGCTAGCAGAGAAAAAAGAAGGAATTTTTAAACATAATTTGGCACATTAATTAAGACAAGTACTATATTCCGTTGGAACATTTCCAATAGCATGTAAAGATTAATTAAGATGACGCATAGCTTTACAAATGTGCACACAGACAAACCAACTAAATCTATCAATCCCAACAAAATTGGATCAGTTAAGTAAATCTCCATCTTCCTTTCAACTCAAACGTGCCCATGCGCACTCGTACATGCATGCACGGATACTTTTTTTTTCCTTACTAAATTGTGCTGAAGGTTAACCAATGACATATAAATTAATATTCTCAACACAGTTAAAAGAATCTAGAACTTCTATTAGGACTGGAAATTACCAGTATCTGATGGAATCAAATTAGAATGTTCCATCACCGCATCCATTTCTAGGCCAAGTACAGCAATATCGAACAGAGGTGTGGCATTCTTCCTCAACTTACTTTAACACCGCAACCTGAAAATACACAACATAAAGAAAAGAAAACTGGTTAATTTGATAAAATTTAATTAAAAACTTATGCAGCATTAATACATAGTTTCGCCTAATGATTTGAGAAATCAAAAACTAAGCAAAATAGTAGTTCTGATGTAGAGGAAACAAAAGACCTGTTAGTAAGTCTCCATGAAGAACATATCTTCAATCACTTTCTACCCTTGGGGACCATAAATGATTGGGTGAGGCAAAGATGATGCAAAATTTAAGACATAATTGATGCTCGTGCTCATCTGACAACCATGCTAATTGAAACCTCCTTTCTTAGTGATTACAGTTGTGTCCCACTATCCAATATCATCTTCATCTGTTCTTGCTGTCTTTCTTTCCATTCAGGGAGTTGGCTTTCTAATGTAGTTTCAAAAAATCATTGGCGACAAACTACAAGGAATTGAGTGATACAGGAATTAAAGTGGTACTTGAGAGGGAAAAAAAAAGGTTCGTATCAAAGCAGAATCATCTCAAATAGAATGATTACTTAAGAAAGAAAAGGAGTCTCAAGATAGCAATGATTACACACTCAGTATTTGTAAGCTCCTTTCACACATTTATTCCTGAGTAGATAAGTTAAGATGGACATAAAATTTAAAAATAATTGCAGTCACTTCTCAGAGCATGCATAAATTACGATGACATATAGCTTGCCAAATGTGCATATAATTGGATCAGATGGAAACACACACACGTACACACATGTATTGTTTCTCACCTGATGAGCACAATTAATATTTATAATCAGTATATACAGAGCTTTAAGATTCCTAAACCAGCCATTGAACCCATTATTCCCAAACAAGTAGGGATCGGCCATGCAAATCACGGTCCTCTGTTCAATTCAGGCACAGAAATGCTCGTTTTTATCATTTTCCTCTTAATGTTAACTTAACATTCACAATCATTAAGAATGAATAAATATGACACATAGATTCTCAACAATGCACGCACAGATGTAGCTTAACCGTTACAAACAAGTTGGAAACAGTTCCATAAATCCGCATTCTCCATCCAATTCGAGCTACGTTCATACCCATTTTTATCACTTGAAAATTTTCCAATTATCGAATAACAGACGATTCATATTCCAAACATGGTTTGAAGACTCTAAAGCTCCAATCAAAACTGATAAAAATATACCTGGAACGTCCATCTTCCCTCGATTTCCTTAAGCACCAAAACCTGAAGAAACAGACAGAATAAAACAAAATCAGTGACCAATGAAATGAAACAGACTAAAAGAAAATCAGTGACCCATGAAATTTAACAAACACACAGTAAAAGATAACGCTGAGAATTTAGAGAGAAACCCTAATTTTTTGTTTCCCGCATGTCATCATCATCATCATCTTCTTCTTCTTCAATGGGAGCTTCCACTGTTAAAAGCTACGAAGCTGATCACATCCATTGTGCTGATTGTGAGTTTTCAGGGTTTTCTAACATGAAAGAGTTAACTCTTCTCACCTAATTTCTATTATTTTACGGCCTGAGGTTGTTGGGTTTCTTATTATTACATCCCTGTATTCTTCTTATTCTTTTAATATTGTCCCTTACGGTTTTTTTATTTATTTGTTATCATATCAAATAATAATGACGGGTGTCAAAAATAAATTTAATTTTGAAAAATATTTTTTTTTCTATTTTATTTAGTTTTATTTCAAAAACAAGTTGTAATTTTCAACGACAGAGAGTTTTGTATTGAAAGGTTTTTTTTCTTCACTGTCTCTAGTTTAAAAAACAATTAATTAGTCCTTTTTGTTTCAAAACTAATTAATTGTTTTATCTATTTTATATTATTATTTAATTTGATTTTTTAAATAGAGATTATGAAAAGATTTAATAAAAAAACATTTTAAAATAAAATAATATTAAATTAACGTGATCAATTTTGGTGAAGAAATTAATTAATTAACTTAGAAAAAAATAATAACTTTTTAATTTATTTTACAAAGCTAGGGGTACATTTATAATTTACTCGAATAGTAAATAACAAGGGGAAAAGAAAATTAGACAAATGAAACGAAAGGAACATTATTTTGCCAAATTCCCAAGATTCTTAGCAGAATTAGTCTTAAGGATTTGAATTCGTAACCTCTTACAGGAGATCGTTATCATTAGGCTACAAACTTTTTTGTTATTACTATGAATTATTACAAGGTTCAAACTAATTATTACACATCAATTTACATTCTGAGATCATCTTGGGATATTCATGTTTTTACTTCACTCATGCAGGGCTACACATTAACATTTCATATGTCAATGTAAGAGAGCATCAATGGTTGAAATGTTGAAATGATTACCACGCCTTCCTAAGTACCATCCGCTTCCAAGCTGCGTTGAGCATATCATCATTTCACTTTCGGTCCTTGTTGATCATGAATGATTGGGCGAGGCAAAGCAGATGCAAAGTTTATGACATAGTTGATACCTATCCTCGTCTGAGTGGCTGTGTCCAATTTTACAATATTATCTTCATCCGTTCTTGCCGTCTTTTTTGCCTGATTGCTCTAATATGGAAAGGACAAAGAGCAATTTGTTCACAAGTGAACAAGGATGTCCAATCCTATGTGCTCCATTGACAGCAAGATCCCAAAGGATGAGATGGCATGACATTTAGCAACCATATACATACCGAGGTTTCCTGCCTTCAGGAACATCAGCATTGAAGTTACCTGTAATCAATTTCAATCAGTGAGGTGTTGGGTCATGATAATAAACTTCAATCTTTAGTGTTCTTCATGTAGATTTGTTTTATATTCATCAGCTCTTTAATTGACAAATAAATTATTAACAGAACACACATTAAGATTCTGTGAAAATTCATGAGGTTGGATCCAAACCTCTTGATATTAAAGAGGTGGTCCCATCAAGCATCCTACTGTATAGTATACAGTATTGCCTCCCCATTAAGTGGAGCTAATAATGTGAAGAAGATATCCTACAATGTCAGAGGAAGATAAATCAGCACAAGATCAGGATTAAGGAGATTATTTTCGGCAAAAGCTCAAAATTCAAAGAGAAATTAGAGCGGCACCCTAACCTGGAATTTTCCTTCTGGTGTGTTACCAATCTGATGAGAAAAACTCGACTTGATCAGCTGTTGCGAGTCACCATCTTCATCTTCTACATTGGCTGTGTCCTCTTTGAGAAAGGTGAAAATGTGGAAGGAGGCAGTTCTTATTTCATCCATTTTGGTGATGGTGATAGTTTGGTGAGTTTGATGTGTTTATATAGGAGATGGAGACCTAGGATACATCTCCTCTTTTCCTCTAAACACCGCATGTTCTTTTTCTCCAGAGTTTCTTTTTTGCTCATCTTTGGATTTTATTGCCTTGTTTAGCATTAACAAATAAGGTATGCTGATGATTGCTAGTCATATAATTAGTAGAAAAATAGTGACTCCATTTGAAGGCTGATTTGTTATTAAAAAAAAAAAAAAACAGAATACCAATTGAAAATATAAGGATTTGGTTCTAGAAGACCTATGTGAATGTCTATCTATGTTAAAAAAAAAAAAACAAAAAAACAAAAAAAAAAAAACAAGTTCTTATCTAATCTTAATTCTAACTTAATATCAAGAGATAAGAGCCAAACATCTTGATATTAAAGACATTGTCCCAACAAGCCTTTTATTGAGAATTTTACATTTCTTCTCTCTTTTTTTCTGAAACTAATAACATACATATAAACAAAATCATTCAAAAATTTCAAACAAAAAGTGTACTAATTGCCTTTTTCATTCTTAACCAATCATGGAATAATTTGGAAACCAGCCAAACCCATGTTTTTTTTAAATCATACAACTTTTTTTAAGAAGGAAACTATATAATTGAAAATCCATCAATTGATTTTATTTTGTTTTGTTTCTTTAATAAAGAGTAAATTTTGTACTATAATGTTCACTCGATTCCTTATTAAATTGTAATCCAAATACAAGATTACGTACCTAATTAAGAATGGTTGTAAGTTTAGAAATAGTCATGGCTCCTACTAATGTCAAGGTTTTCTATTTGGTGATAGTTATATTTGTCTCCCTCTATAAATATCTATGATAGGAGCTTTTTTCATTACATAAAAAACTAAGCAATCTAAATCTTGAAAAAAACAAAATTAAAAATTAAGATACAAAGGAGGTTTCTTTTTCAATGATATCCTTAGCTGCTTTGTTTGTTATCGCAGGTTTTTTTTTTTTCTTTTTCTCCCTTATTATATGTCTTTTCCTCTTTCTATTTTTAATGTCATTGCAAGCATCTGAGTATGCAGGGATGTAAATCATATTATTTATTACATAAATTAAAAGGACTAACGAAATAGTTCTTACAGGTTCTTGGATGTCAAATATGCCAACCATCAAGGAAGGAGAAATTCAAATAGTACAATACGACACAACTGCAACTTGCCACAAAAAAACTTGTCTTAAAAGAGGATGGTTCTACGCTGTATTAATAATGATTGCAAGTGTAATTGGTAATTTGTACTACCAGAAATTTTGCATTACTGCAAGAGAAACTACCAACCGTTACTTCATAAGTATATTTTGAGGAGACAAAAATACAAAGATGAAAGGGAAAATCCCATGGAGATCTACCATGATAAGTGATAAAAATATTTCTAATTAGGCTCAAAAAATAAATTGTTTTTTTCATTCTCTCTTTGATTTCTTTTTTCTTTTTGTGTCTACCTTTCTCTTATAAGAAATAAATATTGATACCTTTGAGTATTCTAAAATTTCTGGTCGCCCTACATTCTCCTAACAACAATAAATGTCTCAAGTCTTCATGCATTAGATAAATGTTCCTTGTTATCAATTAATAATAAATGAAGTGATTTATCAGTTGTGCATTTTCTTATCTCTCATTCAACCTAAGAAAATAGGCATAATTAGCAAGTTGTTAGCAATGAGATAGGCCTAGAACTTGTTCAAAATGAAGAGAATGACAAAATTGGCTTCCTAAATAAATATGTTCATGTTAACTTATCAACTTAAACAAATGATATCAATGGAGCATTTTGCAAGATTAGCATCAGTTATAGGCATGTGGTTAAGAGATTCGAGAGATGGAATTAAAAGCAAATTTACAGCAGGAGGATCGATGATTCTTTTTCACTGCATTAGCAGGATGCATTTCTCAACCTGTCTAGCTTCGAAAGCTGCAAGGCAATCTATTCTTTTTATTTTTTTTTAGGTGATATCACTAGAGAAGTGAATGCTTGGTAAACTTTATATCATATAGAGAGAGGAAAAGGAAAGGCTATATCAACCATGCCAATTGACATCCTTATAACATTATGAATATAATTTAAAAAAAAAAAAAAAACAATTTTAAGAGGTTACGTATATACAAGCCACCAAGTCATCATTTTACTGGCAGATAAATAATGTCTCACGCTGGTAAATCACTGATATGATAGTTAATCATTGAAATAGTATAAAACAACGATTACCAGGTTTCCTTGCCTGATTGGTCCAATACAGTCAAGCAAGATAGCTACTTCTTCATGATATCCCTATCAATACTACATTGCTCCAAACGAATACCATCATTAAAATGCTCCCAAGAAATGTGTTGATTGTTGATACTATTCTTTGGGATCACACTTAAAACTATCCAATGGACTGATTGTCAGGAAATTCAGAAGATTTGGATTTCAAGATGCAGTCTGAAAAATAGAGCAGCCTCCCAGATAAATAATTTAAATCACGTGATATCTAAAATCAAAATTATCCAAGGCAAGAATCAAGAATGAACTACAAGTAAAAGATAGATAACCAACTAAAATTACAATCTAGCAACATAAACCAGTTAAGCCACTGGATTGGACATATACTCAGCTAAATTTGCAATACAAAGTCAAAACCAGATCATTAAGGTTAACAATTAACTGTATAATATCACCATCAACAACGCTGATAAAAATCAATTTCACCAGAAACAAACACATTCCTATCTCTAAAACTCCAATGTTTGGACACTAGTCTTTGCATCTCCATTCAAAGTCACCAGCTAGTACCTCAAACTCTTCTAAATCATGAAAATCAACCAATCCCACCATCCTTATAAATCTTTGCAATTTTATGAATCAAGAGGCAGTACCTATCCTATGAAGAATATATAAGAACTTAAATCCAAGTAGACTTAATTGTATTAGCCTAGAAGCATATGATTAGTTGGTTTTATTACTTAATTAGGAGATTCAAATTCCAAGCATAGTTTCAAGAATCTTAAACTCCGAACAAAACACTGAAAATTAAAGTACCTCGGCACTTTAACAAGGTTTCTACTAGAATTTCGAATGAAGGTCCATCTTCCGTCTGTTGCCTTTAACATCGAAGCCTGAACACAAACACACATAAAATATCAATGACCAATGAAACTTGAAATAGATACTAAAATGCACATAGAGACTAAAAGTTTGAAAAAGAGAAATTAAAATGAAACCCTAACCTAAATTTTTTGTTTCCCCAATGCTTTTTCCTATCACCATCTTCATCTTTTTCATTGGCTCTCTTTTTCGAGTAATGTAACACAGTGAAAGGAGGCAGATTTTATTTCATCCATTTTGATGACTGGAAGGGGATGATGAATGAGATATTTATATATAGATCGATAGAGAGAAATATAGACTCTTCAGGTTTCTTCTCTCAAGGGTTTGGTTTTTTGATACCACCTGTTCACTGGCTTTCTTCACTCGTTTTGCATTTGCACAGTGAATTTCAAGACTATGTTATCATGCCAAAACACAGAATAGTGTGAGAGAAGAAAAGATTTTGTTAAAATCTTTTTCAACTTGTATCTGAAATCAGTAGGTCTGATGCATAACGGAGAAAATACTTGATATTAATTAAGGAATACTTACACAATAGCCGTCTCCATGAAGAACCTATCTTCATTCACTAGATACCCTTATGGATCATAAATGATTGAGTGAGGCAAAGATGATTTAGAATTTAAGTGACAGTTGATGCTTGTGCTCATCTGAATACCATGCTCACTGAAACCCTCTTTCTCAAGGATGATAGCTATGTCCAACTCTACGATATTATCTTCTTCCTTTCTCGCGTTGTTTCTTCCAATTTTGGAATTTGCCTTGTTTCTTCTTCCTATCAATCCGAAATAAGTTGGATCAGATGTGCCCATACAGAAGTAGACACGTATATGTCGTTTTTCACTTAATGATCACAATCATTCTATATAGAGGTTAAAGGATCTAAGCAAAAAGAAGATTTGCATGTGTATTCCTATACCAGCATTCAAATCCAGCATCTCAAACTAAGATGACTCATATCTTGTCAAAAGTGCACACTCCCAAACCAACTAAATCTATCGATTCCAAACAAGTTGAATTAGCAGCATAGATTAATTCCTATCTTCCATTCAACTTAGAAGTGCATGCACACACATAACATCTCTTACACTTGACGACCAAAATTAATTAACATTTATAAGCATTCCAAACTTGTAGTTAAAAGATTCTGAAAAAGCAAACAACAAGACGGCATCATAAC